CCTTCCCACAAGGAGGGGTGGAGTTAGAAAAGGTCGACCCTAAAAATGTCACAACTCACCTTACCTCACGGATTTCCGTCTCCTGCGGTAAGGCCCTTTGAAGAACGGAGCTAACACGTCAAAAACCTTCCACAAAAAGGCCGTGCGCGACCGGCCTCAAGCAGTTGTCCCTTGGGCTCTGCGGTCACGCTCCCAGGTCGTCAAGACCAACACTAATCCAATTTCCTTTTCAGGTTCCTCAAGAAATACCCTTCCACGGTGTGGGCAGCCGGGAAGTGACATCAGCCCTCATACCCGTAACAGCACAAGAGACCAAGTTGGTCACATTCAAATCCTTCCTACACCTCCTAATACCTCTCTTATCTCACCGACTAACCCTCCTCACGTCTCTTTATCACCTCGCACCGCTAGGGCAAACGATTCGAGTACGTGGAACGCCATTCCTGGTCTCCTGAAACCACGCTCTAAACTACACGTAGGAGCTTTTAACGTACGAACACTTTGCCAAATAGGACAGCAGGCTTCCTTAGCTAAAACTTTAGAATCTCGCGCCATCGATGTGTGCTGCGTCTCCGAAACGCGCATTCAGGATCCAAGTAGCGTCATTCATTTGACCTCACCATGCCAAAATAAAGAACCGACTCGATTTACGCTTCGTGTATCTGGAAGCCCTGATTCTGCTTCCCGTGGCCTCGCCGGCGTAGGTATGGCATTGAGTCCTAGGGCAGAACTAGCTCTCTTAGAGTGGATCCCAGTAGACAGTCGTTTGTGTGCTGTCCGACTGAACGGAACAGTAAGAATCCGGAAAGATAGGGACACTCGTCGTTGCCTCTTCGTCGTCTCTGCCTATTCTCCCACTGACTGCAGCTCAGATGATGTAAAAGATGAGTTTTACAGAAAGCTTTCGGACCTTCTCCGAAAAGCTAAGCGCTCGGATGTAGTAATAGTGGCCGGTGACTTTAATGCTCAAGTAGGTAAACTAAGCGATGGGGAAAGACACCTAGGTGGATCTTATGATGTCGTGGCTCACAGAACAGATAATGGCGACCGTCTGTTGCAGCAATGCTCAGATAACCGCCTGTTCCTTGCAAGTACTAATTTTAAGCATCAGTAAAAACATCTTTTAACATGGCGACACCCTAATTCGTCCCAACGTTGGACCCAAATAGATCACATCGCTATCAGCCACCGATGGAGGGGCTCGATAGAAGACTGTCGCTCATTCTGGAGCACATGCTTAGATTCAGATCATGCTCTAGTACGAGCGCGTATCTGTCTGCGTCTTACTGGACGTAGGAAAGACGCTGCAAGGAGACCTCTTAGTGGCCTACTTAATGATAGTCAAGCAAAGAGTATATTTCAGGAACAACTAGGAAAACAGTTAGGCAGCCATGTAGGTGATGCCCACCCCGAGGCAGCATGGAATGATATCCGAAAAGCTGTGGAAACAGCAGTGATATCTGCTAGTAAGGTAAACCAGAAGGTTAGGGAGCAACACTGGATCTCAGCAGCATCTATCGCACTGATAGATGCTCGGAAACTCATTCCACCTGGCTCTGAACATAATGAAGAGCGGAGTCAGCTTAAGCGCAAGCTGACAGGAAGTCTACGCAATGATCGCGAACAGTGGTGGGTAGCGAAAGCAAGTGAGATGGAAAAGTCAGCGGCAATAGGTAATAGCAGACAATTGTTCAGACTTGTTAAGGAAACCGGAATTAGGAACCCGACCGTTAGCGAAACAATCTCAGAGAAAGATGGACATATTATTCATTCTCAATCCAGGAGATTGGATCGATGGGCAGAACACGTTAGGGATGAGTTCAACTGGCCTTCAGCCACACTTCGGTTTCCCACGATCTCTAGTCAACCTGAATGGCAAGTTAATGTAAGTCCTCCGTCCCTTTACGAAGTTGAAAAAGCCATAGGAAATCTGAAACGAGGGAGAGCAGCAGGCCCTGACAGGTTTACTCCTGAGATTTTTAAGGATGGTGGTCCAGTATTAGCAATGAGATTAACCGAGGTCTTAGGTAGAATTTGGGAACTGGACGTAATCCCATCTGACTGGTCTCAATCACTGATTGTGCCAGTCTATAAGAAAGGACAAAAGTCCTCTTGTGACAATCACAGAGAAATCAGTTTGACTAATATAGTGTCTAAAATATTAGCTTCAATAATACTTCGACGCCTAATCACAGCTCGTGAAGAGCAGATTAGAGAAAACCAGGCTGGTTTTCGACCTGGACGTGGTTGTATAGATCAGATATTCACAATACGTCAGGTTCTAGAACACAGACACACATTCAGACGCCCCACAATGGTAGTATTTCTCGACCTTAAGGCGGCATTCGACTCTATTGATCGTGAGGTTCTATGGCAGTGTTTGTCACTGAAAGGAGTACCAAAGAAGTACATTAACCTTATGAAGGCTCTTTACTCGAACACAACTGGTAGAGTGAGAGCTTATGCCGAACTGTCATCAGAATTGATTACCTCAAGTGGTGTTCGTCAGGGCTGTCCACTCTCCCCATTCTTGTTCAACTTTGTGGTCGACGTACTTTTAGAGATAACACTCTCCTCATCTAAATTTCCAGGGGTTGAATTTCTACCGGGAGGTTCACTTGTTGACTTAGAACATGCTGATGACATAGTTTTATTTGGTGAAGACGCTGACAAAATGCAGAGTCTTCTGACCACTCTAAGCAACAATGCAAGCATGTTCGGGATGCGATTCTCTCCCTCGAAATGCAAAATGTTGCTTCAGGATTGGGTTACATCGACACCCGAACTAGTGGTAGGGAGTGAAGTAGTTGAGTGTGTCGACCGCTTCACTTATCTTGGAAGTCTCATCAGCACTTGTGGTCTGGTGTGTGACGAAATCTCAGCACGGATACAGAAGGCTCGACTAGCTTTTGCCAACTTGCGTCATTTATGGCGTAGGCGAGATATCCGTCTATCAACCAAAGGACGCGCTTACTGCGCAGCAGTTCGTCCCGTCCTACTTTATGGCAGTGAAACATGGCCGGTAAGAGTAGAGGATATCCGTAGGTTACTAGTATTTGATCATAGGTGTCTTCGAAACATTGCTTGTATATCCTGGGACCATCGAGTGAGTAACACAGTTGTTAGGAAATGGGTACTAGGTAAGGATGGCAAATCAATTGATGAAGTAGTGAAACTTCATCATTTGAGATGGCTGGGACACGTGTTACGTATGCCCAACGACCGACTACCTCGACGTGTTATGTTCAGTGGTATAGGAGTAGGTTGGAAGAAAGCTAGGGGCGGCCAAACCAAAACATGGCACAAGTCCATGAAGTCACTGACAAGTGGACTGAGTCATGTTGGTAGGTGTAGACTACCTGGTTGGGGACCGCGAGATGACAGCAACCGATGGTTAGAGACCCTGAATGACATGGCTCAAAATCGTTTGCAATGGCGCAGGTGCATCCACTCTCTGTGTTCTCCCAAATTCTAATCTTCTGAATTCTTCATGTCCCTTTTTTCCTCTTTTCAAATTTATTTCACTGGATTATACTCTTTGAATAACATCTCCAAACCCTAATCTTCCCGATTACTGCTTATACTCTTACCGCCTCTATCACTACGGGATTTGAATCGACAACTGCATCTCTGTGCTAATGTGGTGTGGCAACTCGAACCGATGTACGTACGTACGAAGTTCTACGTTGTTACTGACTGACTGACTGACTGACACTGACTGACTGACTGACTGACCGTGGGAGCGTAGACAGAAACGACAAAAAGGCAACGACGTGTGTCCCTATCCTTCCGAGATTTTACGGAGCCGTTTAGCCGAACAGCACATAGACGACTGTTGACGGGGATCCACTCTAGCAGTGCTTGTTCCGCCCTTATGCTTAGTGCTATCCCTACTCTTGCCAGTCCACGAGAAATGGTCATCGGGTCACCAGATACATGGAGGGTGTATCTCGTTGGCTCTCCGTTTTGCCGAGGTGAGGTCAAGTGACTGACCACACTGGGATCCTGTATGCGTGTTTCGGAGACACAGCATACATCAATGGTACGAGATTCTAGGGTTTTAGCCAAGGAAGCCTGCTGACCGATTTGACATAGAGTGCGTACGTTGAAAGCTCCAATGTGTAGTTTGGAGCGAGGTTTCAGTAGACCTGGGACAGTTTTGAGCACTAGAATCGTTAGCTATGGTGACACTTGAGGAAGAAGCCGAAGGAGGAAGTTTAGGGTTGAAAGTCGATGTAGGAGGAATAATAGGAATTAAAGAGGGGGAGGTTGATTATGAATACAGTGGTCTTGAGTGCTGTTAGAGGTATGAGGGCGGTTATCACATCCCGGTTGTCCACACAGTGGAAGGGTTCTTCTGGAGGTACCTGAAAAGGAAATCGGATTAGAAGTGGTCTTAGTGACCTGGGAGCGTGACCGCAGTGCCCAAGGGACAACTGCTTGAGGTCGGTCACACACGACCTTTTTATGGGAAATTTTTGTGTTAGCTCCGTACTTGTTGAGACCTTACCGCCGGAGACGGATATCCGTGGGATAAGGAGAGGTGTGCGTTTTTAGGGTCGACCTTTTCTAACCCCACCCCTCCTTGTGGGAAGGCAGCATTGCTGCAGATGCTGTCTATCTGAATGAAAGACCTTACTGCTGTCACACCTCTGTACAGTCAGCAGTACGACTTCACCTTCGGACCTTGGGGTTTGTTGCTTTTAGTCTTACCGCTCTTCAACCGACCTTTCTGACGTGGTAGGACCTTGAGGAACAGTTGTTCCAGTCAGTATAGCTCGGTTGCTTCATTATGATAGACAAGCCCGACCACCACGTCAAGATAGCAACAACGGTCGGTCAGCCTCGTAACCATTAACATACGGTTTCTGTCAAAACAAGATGATATAATGAATTGAAAATTGTAAATCTCCCAGGAACCGATATTAAATTCAATGAGCGCTAACAATGCGATGACGTCGAAAGTAATATTATTCATTGTAAATTGCCAACTAACTCACTTTGTACAGATTTCAATAACTGATAAACTGGACTCGTATTTGGCACATAATCAATTGGAGTACGGTTCTCTTTATCTAGAGAAGTCGGAGATGCACCAAATTCTAACAGTAAATATGTTATGTCAACGTCATTCAATTTCGCTGCCATATGCAAGGGAGTTGTCAATCGTACTCCACAATTCGGGTCTGCACCTAATAATTAGGAATTATAGTAAAAATTATACAATTATAAACAATGAACTTAAAGTACAAACGTAGTTAATGAATCCCACCTCCATCACAACCTTACCCCCAAAAGTCCTGGTATGGGCGAGGGTGGGGAGAGTCAGCTCTCTCTCTCTCGAAATGCTCCCACGTGGCCACGTGCATACAACCACTACCAGCGAAGTCCTATCCACTGCCTTATCGCAATCAGGGTGTTGCTTACGAAATCGAGAGGACGAAAAATGAATGTCCGGAGCTTTACCCGGGTTGGTGGATGCGGAGGATCCATCCAGGAGAGTCGGAAAACCCTGATTTCAAACCAATCGTGCACATAGGCTCCAGAATCCTAAGGAAACAAATGGCGTGTGAACCAATTGTTAGTCACCGGCTACCACTGGACTGTATCTCCTTGCGTTGCCTCACCGCCTTGTAGATTAGACCTTTAGGTCAAAGGCTCGGAGCGTGGTCCCCTAGGAGAACCACCTGCTTCGCTTTGGGCACCCAGGCAGTATTCCAGCCCCCACACAAACCGAATGACGAAGTGTGGCGCATATCTGTTTGGCGCCTCCTTGTACCTGTGTTTATGTTTAAATAATAAAATAATATGTATATAGGTATGATGCCCAAAACGACAGTGGAAACTGCAGCTAAACCATTTCAGAGAACTCACCAACGCTAAAAAAATTTACTTGAGCTATAAACCTTTATCAGATAATAAAATAATGTCAAGGTATGTAAACTAAACATACCTTTAGAAAGTAGAAGGTAAACGCCAGCATAAAATCTCCTTTGGATAGCTATATGTAGTGGACAAAGGCCATTGCGTTCAGGAGAATTTAAACTTGCACCAGCATCTATTAAAACTTTCATTGCATTTATAGATTCTATGAATACATACAGAATGATGACAAAACTATAAGCTCACCATTCTGTGTGGCATAGATTAACGGAGAACCCCAATAAGATGGTGGATTAACATCAACTTTACTTCTTAATAAAAGAGAAATTATCTCAGCTGATCCGCTTAGAGCTGCATCGCAAATTGGAGTCTGTCCATCAATATTGGAGGCATTTGCATGAACGCCACTATCTAACAGAAGACGTACAGCTTTAACATTTCCTAATAAACAGGCATGGTGAAGCAACGTATTATTGTCTGCATCACGAGAATGTATATTGAATGTTTGCAAAAGGTTTTGGAGGTCATCAGTGTCACCTGACTTAAGGATTCTGATTGCATCAATCATTTGCTTATTTTTAATCCTACATAAGACATTAAATGTAAATGGATTAAGTATGAGGGCTGTGTGAAAACAGATTTCATGAGTCCTTCAGGACAAAAGTATATTAAACAAAAATTGGCCTGCGGAAAAGTAAAAGGAAAAATTTACATTTACAAGGATGTGAATATCATAAGTGTTAAAAGTGAAGCCATGTTAAACCAACTTATGATGAGATGTGTCCAAGAGTTGCGGACAAGCAGTTAACGATCAGCTTCTTTGTTACAATATAAACTGAGTTTTAGTTAACAGATTAGTCAGATGTGAATGATCAGTAAAAGGAAGTATGGCCTAAGGTTAGTAAGATGATAGTAATTTGCAATCACCTCAAGATGAATGAATGCAGTTAAAACCAAACGCAATTGCAAAAGAGCTTCATAAGGTAAGACCTAAAGTAACATGCATTCCAGTCAGTATAAACCAGCCGAATCATCCTGATGGGCAAGCCCAACTAGTCGTAGCAGCTACAGTTGGGTCTATAAAGTATTGCAGTTGCAGTGAGATTAGTTTGAAGTTAAGTGCTCTAAAGCATTAAATTATAACTACAAAAAGATTCGTACCTGTTAAACTACTCTGCATCTGGTTTGAAACAAATATACTGAAATTAAAAATAAAATCAGGGTTTTATATTTAATACTCATCCTTGGATTACCAAGTAACTTTAAATGCTACATAGCAGGGCAGCAGACTTGCAACATACATGAATACTCTTTTCCAATGCATCTATAACTACTATACGTCGGGGAAGACTTCAAGGTAAATTTCGGAGGCATTTCCATGTGGATATTTGCTTCAAAAATCAACGATTACTCTATCACGCGCGAATTTCAAAAAGGGCAGTGAATTTTGTACTTGTTGTGATTATACTTGCTTTTGGTACTTATCGCACTAAAAAGCATTCTTGGTCTACTTTAACTAAGAGTTCTTTGGTTAAAGTTTGAAATTTTTTGCTACATTTTGTCCTGGGTACCTGTTTTTAGTCCTTGACTAAGACTTGTGTTCACATTGTTATCGTTTTTTGTTTTTAAACCTTTTAAATCGAATTACAATGGTTGGTAAGACTCACAAATGTGGGCAACCAAATTGTTTGTTCTCCGTTGAGGAGGGAATGCAGTGTGACGACTGTAAAAAGTGGTATCACAAAATGTGTACACGACTAAGTCCGACGGCTTACAAAAGATGCTCGAAGCCTAACTCGCATTGGCTTTGTGTGTTCTGCTGTACGGATAAAAAGGTACTAATACAGGAGGCTATGGGCCTATTGGCTTTGGCCTGCAAGAAAAACGATGGCGGAAGCACTGATAACAGGAGTACTGACGATGAAGAATGTGTCAGTGTAGTAAGTGCTGCTACTGGACCCATTAAACACCTGACTGCGGTTGACGGGAACGTGAAATCTCCGTTGACATTAACGAGAAATGAAGTATCGCCTGATATTGACATCGGCAGTCATACACCTCTAGTCGAAATCGAAGATCCGGATAAAACTGTCACCGTTCCACATAGTCCAGGTGTGGCTGTTCTGAGTGGTGACAAATGGACTCCGGTAAGAAGAAAAAAAATAAGAAGAAAAAGGCTGTAGGCAAAACGCAGCTGGTCAGCAAGACATTGGAAGGGACTTTATCAGAAGAAAAATCCTCACCGCGTGAAAAGACAGATCTCTCTGAGAGATCAGTCATTTTTCATAAGATAAGAGAATCTTCAGACACTGAACCAAAGGCAAGATTTGAACATGATCTCAATCATATTAAGACATCATTAAGTAAACTACTCCCAGATACAGTTTCAGGAGTTAGTATTTGTAAGCTTTATAGAATAGGAAAAAAGGTGGATTCCGAAAGTCCTCAGAAAAACCGCCTCCTAAAGGTTACATTCAACACGGTGGAAGAAAGGAACCTGGTTCTAAGTAATTCACGTAAACTGATTGGGTCCGGAATATATGTCCGTGAGGACCTCAGCCTAGCTGATCGTATTAAGAGAAGGGCTGCAGAAGCGGAAATAAACGAGCGTCGCCGAAACGGTGAAAGAAACCTCGTTCTTAAGGGTTTTCAGATTGTAAAAGTTCGGAGCAAAACGATCCCCAAGCCACTCTGGGTGGCAAGGGAAAGCTCTCCACAGACTTAAAAGTGTGCTACACAAATGCTCGCAGCCTACTAAATAAAATGGCGGAGCTGAAGTCAGTGGTGGATAAAGAAAAACCGGACGTTATCGCTGTCTCGGAAACTTGGCTAACGTCAGAAGTATTAGATAGTGAAATCCAATTGGCTGGTTTCATAACCAGTAGGGCTGATAGATTAAACCGAAGGGGAGGCGGGGTTATTGTGTACACGAAAAGTACCCTAACCATAAGATTAGCTGAGACAGTAGCACATGTTTCAGGGACATGTGAACTGGTAAGATGTAAGTTGAAATGCCGAAGACAAGATATTGAATTAGTTGTAGTTTATCGCAGTCCAGAATGTGTAGCAGACGATTTTCTCCTCAGTAAACTTAAGTCCTGGTGTAACAACGGTAAAAGCCTTGTAGTAGGCGACTTTAATGCACCATATATAAACTGGGTTAACTTAGAAGTAGAGTCATCTATATCGTCGTTCGACTCCAAACTGTTAGAAACCTCGATTGGACTAGCATTATTCCAACACATTAGAGATCCCACAAGATACGACTTAAGAAACTCTTCCTCTCTTTAGATTTAGTCTTCACACACGGTGAGGACGTTGGTCAAACGGCTTTTCTCCCACCACTTGGGAGAAGTGACCATGCAGTCATCTTATTCAAATTCATGGCTGAAATTGCTTCTCAAACAATTGCGCCGGCCCGTCCTAACATATGGAAGGCAGATATGCAGGCAATTGACTCCGCAGCATCGGCTGAGAACTGGGAAATTGACTCAAAGGCATCAGTACAAGAGGCATGGACTCTATTCAGACAGTTATACAATCGGGTAACTCAACCATATATACCCTGGACTGTCCCAAAGAAAAAGAAGCACGGACATCCCTGGTTAGGGCGGGATATTCGACGCTTACTAAGACAAAAGAAGAAATGCTGGGATGTTGCCATCCGCCTTGGCACAGCAGGTACGATGGAACACTACAGATCGATAAGAAACGTGTGTATAACTAAAATTCGGGAAGCGCAAAGAAAATACGAAATGCAGCTGGCAGAATCTGCACTCAAGCAGCCCAAGAGGATATTCTCGTACATAAACTACAGAACAAGGACTCATCACTGGATTCCCAACCTAATTAAAGTAGGAAGTGAATCTGAAATGATAGAGGAAGATCAGGAAAAAGCTGAGATTATGGCTGACTACTTTGGGGCAGTTTTCACTCAGGAACCTCCTCTAGAGAAAGAACCAGACCCAATTACAGAGTCAACAAACCAGCTGCTCACCGTGGACTTCGACCAAAACGATGTGCTTAAGGCTCTTAGCACCCTAAACATGGAGAAGTCAACAGGACCAGATGAACTACACCCTAAAATCTTGAGACATATTGCCGAATATATCGCAGCCCCACTGACTGTGATATTCAAAATGTCACTTGACCAAGGTGTGTTACCTATGGACTGGAAGGACGCAATCGTCACTCCCATACATAAAACAGGTCCACGACAAGTTCCATCAAATTACAGACCCGTAAGCCTCACCAGTGTTGTAATTAAAATACTGGAAAGGATAATCAAACGGACCATAACAGCATTTATGGAAACCAATAACTTGCTGAACATGGCACAACATGGTTTTAGAAAGGGTCTATCCTGTACAACGAACCTCCTTATAGCTAGGGAGCTCTGGATTAATGCGCTAGACAACGGAAACTCAGTGGATGTTGTCTACATAGACTTCAGTAAGGCTTTTGACAAGGTGCCAACTAATAGACTGCTATTGAAGTTGGCAAACCTTGGTATTGCCGGACCTCTTTTAAAATGGATTAAGGATTTCCTAGTAGGTCGTAGGCAAAAAGTAAGAATAAATTCCAAGTGCTCCATCTGGAGACCAGTACTTAGTGGAGTACCCCAAGGTTCCGTCCTAGGTCCTTTACTTTTTATAATGTACGTTAATGATCTTACAAGTATAGTACAGTCTCCAATGTTATTATACGCTGACGATGTAAAAATTTGGCGAGTAATAACTGGAGACAAAGACGCATTTACTCTTCAGGCGGACTTAAATAATATGATAAACTGGTCTAAAGAGTGGCTAATGCCTATCAACTCGGAAAAGTGTGTCTACATGCACTTGGGGGATTCAAAGGTTAATACGTACAACATAGGGGATGTGTCATTACCCGTAGTCCGGTCTCATAAGGACCTAGGGGTGACAGTGAGCAGTGATCTTAAGACGACGGCCCATTGCCGGGAGGTCGCAGTTAAGGGGTTTCGAACCCTCTGGGCTTTAAAAAGGACATTCACTAAGCTTGATACTACCATGTTCACCACATTATACACATCCTTAGTGAGAACTAAGTTAGAGAACTGTGTTCAGGCTGCAAGCCCCTGTTTAAAAGGTGACTCAGACATACTAGAAAAAGTACAGAGGGCAGCTACGCGTGCAATTCCGGAACTCCGGGGTTTATCATATAAAGAGCGGCTTGAAAAACTGAACCTCTTTACTCTGTCCTATCGCAGATTAAGGGGAGATCTAATATTGATGTACAGAATACTGAGAAATGATTTCGGACCTAACTTATTCTCTCTCTTTTTTCCCACTAGATCGGGACACCTCAGAGGACATAGCAGGCGAGTAGAAAAGCCAAGAACGAACAAAATACCCGTGGCATACAGGTTTTCACACCGAGTCATCAATACTTGGAACCTGCTGCCTGAAGCAGTGGTATCCGCACCTTCAATTGACTCTTTCAAGAGAAGACTGGACACTCACAGAAGCATACTAGAAAAGGAATAACATAGGCCGTAGGCCTTCTGTCCTTACTACACAAATCTGAATCTAATTTACATGACTTTAAGAATTGATACTACACCGTTTTACGTGATAACCTTAATTGAATAAGCTTGTGAAGAATTATCATATAGCTCTGAAATGATGGTAATGAAGGGTAGGTTATTAACGTAACTGGTATAAATCGATTTTCTTCGCAAGCGCAGACATAAATCACACGAAATCACGCAGTGTCAACAGAGTCCTTGCAAATAATTCGTGGCGACTATTTCAGCCTGGATTTTCTGCCCACTAAACTGACTTTGACAAATTTTGGGTGTCCAAGCATATAAAACAGAAAATAAAAAAGAACTTTGTAGAACTAATATTAGTTCCACACATGTGACGATTTGCGTCTAGCCAAAAGGTGCTTTGTGTGCTAGAAAAGCATGAAGAGTAGTGTGAGTGAAGAACACAAGAAAAGGTCAGTCGACAAGCCGGCAAGTCAATAAAATGCACTTTATCAAGGAAACGACAAATTCAACATTAACACAAGTCTCCGATTTAGACAATATTGTAATATAAAACGGAAATAGACAATTCAACTTGCTACAAAATAAAAGTCAGAAAAGAACACTTTTGGATAGTTAACAACGTTCAAACAACGAAGAACTCGTCTTGCACTTCACTAACCCTCGGTAGCATACACATTAAGCTTTCCGCCTATGAAACAGATGTTTCAAGTCTTCACTCTTCAATAACAGGGATAGTAGGTTGGTGGATTTGTTTTCTCACAGTTTGTTTTTCAGTGAAGGTCCAGTTTCTTCTTGAAGATGTCCGCTGATTGGGCTGATAATAGTTCTTCGGGTAAGGCGTCCCAGTCATCGACCACTCAATGAGAATAACGGAACCCCACACCAAGTTTATTAGATAGCGGTTTCGGAACATTCTTCATACGTCCTCAAAGATTATTAGTGATGGAGGGAACAGAAAGATACGACATATTAATAACCAAATCGTAATTAAAAATGCGGAATGCCAAAATAAGGTCACCTTGCTTTCTACGATACAATAAGGGGAAAATGTTCAGGCGTTTTAGGGCAGTCATCGTAAGATAATTTAGAAAGACCTTTCACTGATTTCGTTTTCACGCTCTGAACATGCTCAAGTGAATAAGTACCCATAAAAAGACATGGACTACGTGCCTTGATGCAGCACTCCGGTTGGTACTGAATATGTCGTAGAAACAGGAGAGTAAATTTCAGTACATAAGAATGTAACACATGTAATGATTAACCATGAATAGCAAATACAAGCCATTCTCATATGGATGACTGATAATTTAGAACATGGATTGACAGATAGGACGTTACCTAATTAAGGTTATTAAATGGATAAGGACAGTGAACACTTTTGTTAAAATATACATGCAAATAAATAAGCTTGTATGCTGGTGTCGTGTTTGTGTTCACAGTTGTTATAATCTGTTCATAAATTGTGGATTGTACGAACCGTAACTTTGGCGAAAACCCATCTGTCCCAAATTTCACCTTTGAGTATTACGTTCGTAACGCTGAAAAAAAAGTAAAGATGCCATGGTAAACAAAGCTCCAAATCATTAGTTCTGTAAGTCTTCGACATTGGATGTTGACCACATTAATTTTAATAAACTCACCTAGCTGAAGGTGCTCGGTCATGGATCCACACCAGATCACGAGTGGGAACTCCGTGCTCAACATCCCCTGCAATCGCTAGCCAGATTAGATCAGGCAACCCTTGATATATTGCTAGCCTATCAAATATATCTTTGAACCTCCTCGCTTCTGTCTTTTGATTTCAGTTGGTGAGTACGATTCATATTAGGTGTTACTGATTAAGGCATTGTCAAACTCCAAATACCTGGGGAATCTTCAACAGGAAGTCGTCTGTTTTTGGTAAACGCCAACTTTAAACACGAAGAGATATCGTCTAAGGCGATGACCTCCACTATTGACTCAGTAACAAACTCAACTAGATGGCATTGCCATCAACGATCGCTGGAGGGGCTACACTCGGAACCGTCGCTCATTCTGGAGTACACTTTTTGGCTTTGATCACGCTCTTGTTTGAGCACATATTTGTCTGAGTATTACTGAGTGTAGAAAAGCTACAGAAGGAAAACCCATTAGAATCTAACTTAATGATGCAAAAGTTAACAATATATTTCGAAACCAACTAGAACTGGAGGTGGTCAACTGTGAAAAAGATATCCAAAAGCTGTGGAAGCAGCAGTGTCGTCTACTAATAGCTTAAACCAGAAGGTCAGTAAAATCAGTGGATTTCAGCGGCGTTTACTAAACTGATAGATGCAAAGAAACTCAACCCGTCTGGATCTGAACACTATGAGGAGCGGAGACAGCTAAAATGTAGGTTGATCGAAAGCCTGCGTAATGATCACGAGCAGTGGTGCGTGGTAAGAGCAGAATAAATGGAAAAGGCAGCAGCGATAGGTAACAGTAGACAATTGTTCAGGGGTACAGCTACTAAAATTCCATCTGTTAATGAAACTATCTCGGAAAAAGACTGGACTATTATTCATTCTCAATCCAAGTGACTGAACCGATGGGCACTTTGGGTAACAGTCCATCTGACCTACAACAATACTTCAGTTATCCACTACGTCCAGGAAACTTAAATAGCAGCTCGATGTGACCTCTCCAACTCTTAGAAAGATTGAGAAGACTATAAGCAATCTAAAGAGAAGGATAGTAGGAAGACCTGATGGTGGTCTAGTGTTATCCATTAAACTAACTGAGATCTTAGCTAGAGTTTTGGAACTAGACATAATCCCGTCTGACCGGTCTCGGTCGCTGATCGTCCCAGTTCATAAGGATTATCAGAAAGGAATCAGTTTGGCCAATATAATGTCTAACATATTAGCCTCAATAATAGTTCGATGCCTATCTACAGCTCATATAGAGCCAACCCGAGAAAACCACACTGATTTCAAACCTGGACGTCGATGTATAGACCAAATATTCACCCCTTGGAAGATTCGAAAACATAGACGTACTTTTCGACGTACTACTGTAGATTTATACCTTGACTCAATCGATCGTGATGTTGTACGAAGGTGCCTGTCATTAGAGGACGTACCAAAGAAGTATGTAGACATTACACAGGCTCTCTGCTCGAACACTTCTGGCCGAGTCAGAGCCTATAACAAACTGTCATCGGAATCGATTACTCCAACTGGTGTTCGTCAATGTCGTCTTTTCTTCCATTTTTATGTCACTTTCTCATAAACCTGCCTACTCAAAACGGAAGAGGTTATAAATGTTTAATCCCAAAAGTAATACACCTTGCTTATTCCATTAATATCCGTCTCTGCCCGCATTTCTGCGTAGGGTTCCTACTCTTCAACACTTTGTACGTGTTGTCTTACATATCGACAATTAAATACACTACTACGTAATAAGACTGTAGAACTACGGTCTACTATAACATTAGTGCTGCTCTAATAATAGACCTAATCCTAAATTTGTAGATTTGTCATGATATAACTGTCTAATCTATAAGATCTTAAGTGGAAGTCACACCATCGACTACGCCAACTCACTGTATCGTATCAATTACCAATACGTGATGTAGAACAAGGTTAGGCTAGAGAAAGAACAATATATTTAATATGAATAGAAGACATAAGGTAACATTCAGCAGGGACCACGCCTGCCTGGCCGAGCCAGGCCGTTCGATCAACTGGAACTCATTCAATACATTGTTCGCGCCATCTCCATCGTTAGGTATTTCTCCGTGTCAAATATTGATTATCTATTTTCCGAGTTGTCTCATGCTCAGCTTTGAGGATTGTGTGGTTATGGTCCAATGTCACTACAAGATCTTATAACACAACAATAATGTAACAGTTCGTAAGATAGGTATCATGTGACAACTATAGACAGTATCACAGCTTGTCATTTATTGCACCAGATCACATCGGTTCTGCCACTTCTGATTCCACAGACATTCAGAGTGTGACAAATGTTTCGTCTCTGACACCTGTTGTTCCTGTTGTTATTGCTCATGCTTCTGGCTGCTTGCGGAATTTACTTCCCGGTTCGAACTTGGACTTCTCTCTTTAGTTAGCGGGTCTAGGACGCATCAGAATGGCTAGCCTATTGGTACGTGGTCACAAAGTCTTGTTCCGTTCGCAGACTAGGTGAACTCGTAATCCCATCAAACATAGCAATTAGCACATCAGTTCGACTACTAATAATCGTAGGAATGAAGACACTTGAAAAACTACATTCGAATACAATTTGCTATTGCACGTTATTACAAGGTGCAAGTGAATGTAGGAAGCTTAGTAAAAATGGCGAATATTTTTGATGTACAAAATAAGATTCTGCAGCCTTATAAACGAAGTGAAACCAGAGCCAGAGCTAATGGAGTTAAAGGATCAGAAAAACAGCGTGATGGTTGAAAATCTAAGGGGAGGGGTTAAAAAGATCTTAAGTTATCGACCTGAAGTCATAAATTCAATAAATATCCAGAGATTTCATCATTTAAAGTACCTCTTCCTTTTTAAAGCCGGTTCAAAAGCAACAAGCTGAATACTACATTCAGTTAGATCTGTAAACCACCAACGTAGATGATCTATGTCTAGCGATTGAGGGTTCACTCAAACCAGCTAACTCCAAAGTCCCATTTCGTGGTCAGCCCCTAACGCAGATTACCCCTTCGTCGTATGGCTGCTTTGAAGACCGTGTAACACAAAGGATGTTATTACGGAAATATCTTAGTAAGAATGGGTACAGAGATGACGGTACGGCCACCATACCATTGGCCAGTCCATAGCATAAGGTTAACTATTGCGCTTAGGTTGTCCCCGATCCTGAAGAGGATTAGTGAACTTATAGTGGTATTGATCACAACTACACAGTCCCCAAAGCTGAACATGAGATAACTGGAAAGATGCATATTGAACGATCAACACGAGAGAAGATCAACAATAAAAAGACCGGGAAGAATTAATGAATTAGCTTGGATGACATGGCTCAGCCTCGCAGACATGGGCATTATGTATAACTTGTCTTTGTTCACATAAAATACATTATCCTACCTTCAGACGAAACGCGTTCTTCAGAAGTACTGCGTTGCTAGATTGAAGCGGTTATGAGTTAACTTAGTATGCGAACGGAACAAAGACTTGTGACCGAAGACCAATAAGCCAGATATTCTGGTGTGTCCCAGACCAGCTAACTAAAGTGAGAAGTCGAAACTTGGAACGGGAAAGTATATTCCGTAAGCCAGAAGCACGAGTGAATGATAACAAACACAAATCAAACGTATATATACAGCATAAAACTGTCCTTGGGAAGCGTTGCAAAAACAGCATACTAAAATACACAACGGACCAATAGTGTTAATGATTCTCCAAAGTGGGAAATACGACGTGAAGGCGAAAGGAGCGCTTTTGACGCTAAAACAAGGAAATTCAAATTTCCAAAATAAAATTACAGAACTAGGGCACTTACCAACTGAGTTCTGGGAATCTAACTTCCCCCTCAAACGTATCATATTGTTACGATAGGATGATTTAGTGTAGACAATTATGTGATTTTGGTGGAGTTTTGACCAAACCATCCAGCTCAGAGAACAAAACTCCACTAAAATCATCCACCTGAGCTACAAATCTTCTCCACCATCTCACAATTATGTGACTTCCACGTAAGATCTTATAGATTGGAGAGTCATATCATGACCTATCTATAATCGTGGGACTAGGCCTATTATCAGAGCGGTACTAATAACGAAGTAGACCACAAATCTACAAACTGCTGAACATTCGGTAACTCAGTTGCCGGATGTTAAGCTAGGGCACAGTGACATTTGACTGGCCCTATAGACCATGATATATTTATTATTATTGTTATTATCGACAAAAATCTTATGAGTACATAAGCACTGTGAAGAAACTATTTCGGATTTCTTCAAAAATGCAGTAATACACAAGTTTCAATAATGTTAGTATTATATTTGCCGTATTTGAAAAAGAGAATAATAATAATAGTATGATAATAAATCAGATTTTGTGTGGTTCAGAAGAATATTGAATAGTGTTTTTTAAGAAGGCAAGGAAGAAAATAAGGGAATAGAAACAAAGGAAACGTGAAATACGCAAATAGTTTAATAGGCGTGTTTATGAACACAGAACAGGAATAAACGACTATGTATTTATCCTCAAATTAACAACACGGTAAACATGGTAAACGGTTAACCATCCGACTACTAGTGGTCAGTTATGCAAGGTTAGGATGGGTTTATTTAATTTAATAATGCAGCTACGCTTCCACGACACTTCGCTATCTAGTATATCGTTTCGATCATAAAGCACTGTCAAACATTGATGTCACTCTAAACGTATAGTATCGAAGGTTCCTGACTATTTGTTCTACATTATTTCATAATTAAAGAATATTTGTACTCTATTCCCTCATAATATAACTAGTCTACAATATCATGTGAATAGTGTCGTGGCTGGCATACCGATGACAAATACTGAACTTCAGAATAAGATTTCACAATTTAGTCACTAATTCATAAGAAAACTAATGATTTCATGAATGTCCAACTTTATTATCAATGACAATAAGTCGCAAATGCTTAATAAATGAGGACTCAAATAAGATTTCTGTTTATTCCTCTCCTTGTTCTATTTCGACCACGTTAGGTGTAAACTTGGACACATAATGAACAACCTAACAAAAGTGGATGAATAACCTCATTAAATTCAATTTTAGTGTGCACAGACGAACATGAAAGCTCCAGCACTTAAACTTCAACATCGTTTACCTCAGAACGCATACTTGCTTGTTATAATCTGAGGTGTTCTTGAACTTTGATGATACTAAGACGTCGAGAGTTTAAGGATGACTTGGAAGAAGATGTGTTTATCAACGGACTAGGGGGCAGGAGTCTAAAATTGATTGCCCAATTAGTTTATCTCGCTGATCAAGGTAATTGCTGATATCAGTTCTATGTCTATTGTTTTGCATAAAACCTGTTCAGACAGAGCTCTAGTGATAAAAATATTGAACAATAAGAAGGGCTGATTAACACTTTCAGTCTGCTCTATGGCCAGGTGTGAATCATAGCCTACTCGAATGATGAAAATGTAGATTAGGATAAACTTTAATCCAGTTTGATTACTTCGCCAAGTTGTTAAACTTATTACAATGTTTAGATATGTTCAATGGAAAGAGGGGGTATTAACAAAGTCTACGATACGTTTACATGTGAAACATCCCTATCGGGCGTCAAGAATGGACGTTTCAGAAAAGTCAAAGCTTATTATTATTCACAAACATCATATGGGTACAAAAGATGTCATTTACGACTGCAACTATTCATAAATCATGGTTACAACGTATCTTAAAAGCTCGTCATGGAAAAAGAGAACTCTCGAGATCCAAAGAAGTAAAGTTTTTGGCCCAACTTCGTGCAACAGCTTTAGGTCTATTATTTAAGCTTAACCATTACTGATGTTGCTAACAAGTAAGGTCTCACAAGCCATTGTGCCTTTGTGTACATAATATGTTTACTCTGTATGATCAAGGCCATCTGAGAAGCTAATGCATTAAAATGATTAGCTTGTAATTACACCCACAGCTCTTGCTATGAGTGCCTGTTTTCTACTTTAAACTGTTGACTTATGAGGCATTATCCATTAGTTTATGTATGACTTTCTAGGCACTTTATCTTTATGCTTAAAAAAGAGACTACTTGACACATACCTCCAATCTCTTTCGGATACGTTTAAGACTTGTTTCCACTAAATATGGCCCAGTTTCACAAGAGGGATATTGACCACTATAGAAGTGTTGGTAAAGTTGTGAACTGTCATCAAGATAGTTAGTAATGTGTAATTATTATCAGTTACCAATAAGGTCATAATATACCGTTCATAAACAGCTATAGGTTAAGCTGAAGAGCTTTCTGAAGTGACAAGGATGTACTTCACAGGTGTTGTGAGTATTCTCAGCGTCCATTGTTTGTGTGACAGGGTTTGTAACGATGTTCTCAAGAATTGTTAGACAGTTTCGGTATCCATGAGATGCTTGAGCGACCTGTATAGTTCCAAGACATTCATTTCAGATTTGGTGAGAGTCTCTATTATCATGTTTTTCGAGGTACAGGTTTTCGTGATCCAGAGAAAATGCTAATATACTGGCGCCATTTTTTTAAAGACTACAGAGGGTGGTATTGGACGAGGTGTCGTTACAGATCTTTATGAAAATTCGCCACGAGTATTTGTCTTATCGACAGCATCTTCACATATCTCACTTTAAAAAGGATATCTATCGTCGTGAAAATAATAAGTTCACTGTATTTGTTGTACCCTTGTCTAGTAACTGCTGTTAGGGAATACTTGCTCTATCAAATTCATACACTGTCGATACAAAAAAGCTGTATTTCCCATTTATGAAAAAAATTCTGTTCAGTTCAAACATAAATCTTATGGGACTAGAAGTTGCTGATATTGAATTTCCTAATCTTAATGTTTAACATTTGTTGTAATATACTATCTTGACCTTGTGAAGAGGCACAAAATCGTATTAGAGCTTGTTGTTTCCGTTCTCGATACTTTCCTGGTGGCCATGATGTTCTTGTAAATAAAGGTACATTTCTCGTCTGTAAACATTTGAATATTAACTTTTCAAGTATAGAGTAGTGGATTTGAAGATTTTAACTTTATTTAAGATACTGGAACAATTACATTAGGAACAACTTACGGGTTGCATACCCGCGAGTAATAAGTAGTCATTCTGTCTTTTTAACCATACAGATAAGATTAACGAATAAATTCTAGGGTTTTACGAAATGCCTCGTGAGATCGTTAAAGCACATTACCTTTTGTCTGAAAATCATTTTCTATAGATAAACATGCGACAAGCCTGCCCAATCTCTCTGTTTTGAGGAAAATTTTGTCCGTTCTGAGATTTTTGAAACAGGGTACAAAATCCCCCAAAGGTTTGGAAAACTGCCAATCGTCATTGATCTTTTCGAGATAACCCCGAAATCGAGAGATTGGGTAGTCTCAAAATTAAATTCGCCCATGTTCTGACAGTTGATATTTTAAAGTGACATCTCTAGTTCAGTTTTCGTCCTCAGAACTATTCTCAAGAAATAAAAAGTACGTAAACTGGTTGAGTGTTTTTCACAGGATTATGTACCCCTCATTGCTAAACATCGTTAACTGCTATAGAAGATCGTAGGTTCTTTAGAAAACTTTGAGAAGATAGAGTCACTTTAAAGACTGAATTTTAACGGTTTATTATGGAAGGTTGGTTATTCAAAAACATTACAGCTTTGTATACTTTTGTGAGAACGTAGCTTGTTTGTTCCACTTGATACATGTAAGAAGAAACATGTAAAATTATGGTCTACTATGATATTAGTATTGCTCCAATTATAGAGTTAATCCTAAAATTGCAGATTTTTCATGATGTAACTGCCTGATTTATAAAATCTTACGTGGAAGTCACATCATCGTCTACACTGACTTATCGTGTCGTAATAGTTACCAATATATGATGGAGAACACATTCAGTCTGAAGATAGAACATGATATTTAATATGAGTAAAAGATTTAAGGTAACATTCAACAAGGACCACGCCTGAAAGACCAGGCCATTTGAAACGTCACGAATTCAAAGAAACCTAGTTTTAAAATGTATGAGTAAATTTTCGTTTAATGCCAATTTAATGAACAATAGAAAAATAAATATATTTTACGATAGCATTTATAGTGATACATGACTACCTCACCTATGTGCGATTGACGTTATTTCATCAGTCCAGCAAATAATATACGGAGGTAAATACTTCATTTGTACTCAATATGAAGTTTGCTGAATATTACAAATGTGACTTCATATACTCTGTAACTGATGATCATTCCTTTTCAATATTTCATCTAAAAAGTAGGTTCTTAATGAGAAGACCGTAGTCAAATATGAGCATTTTTCTGCTTGATGATGAAGTTCCTATCGAAGCTGTCCGTTGGTTGTATTTCCGTCGTTCTGGTGGAGTAAGTACATGGAAACCATTTTGTGGATATGATTCAATACGTCTTGAAACAGCTTATCGAGAGCGTTATAACGGCAGCACGGACAGAGTTTACGATAAGATTACTGTTCGTGGGGAGATGTTCGAAGTAGACATGGAAAGTTGCCAATGTATTCCTATATACTGGTTTGGCAAAAAACGATCTGTACATAGTAGAAGAAAAACTTGGTGTTCAACCAGAGTGGTGCGTGCTGTTTGGTTTCAGAAGATCAATTGGTTACCTTTGGATACAAAGTTATCTGAAGTGATTGAATATGAACATCGTACGTATGCTATACCTAAATTGAAGGGAGTTACAGGCAAAAGTCATAAGCGTAAGTAATGATTGGCCCATAATTCTGTTGTCACATTTATTTCAGCTGTTCATAAATATCAGTCAAACAATTATGAAATAAAATGGATGCCTGATGGTACTATCTATTTAGTTACTAAAAGTGCAGAGCCTTTTGGTAAAGTTAGATTACACGGAGGATTAAGTGAGTACTTCATTAGAACTTTTTTTAAACCGAATACTCTTACCTTAAAGGTAGTGTTCCTATTAGCAGAGGATTTAATCGTCCAGCGGAAACTAGTGATAGACCTCCCCCTATTACTCATGTATGCTTTGTTGTCCATGGTATCGGTCAACAGTTAGCTAGTATACGCCATGAATGTGCCAAGTACGTTTTTCATTTTTCCAATACTTTTTGTCTATTCACGTGACAAAATTTATTAGCTATTAGATTAGATGATTTGATGCATAAAGTCTAATTGTTAGTTGTTAAACGTAGTCGATTTAACCTTTGTTTGGTAATTTATGTGCTTTACTCCACTGAATTGCTCCAGTTGAAAATTGGCTAAAAATTAAGAAGTACTGGATAGCTGTCTTATTCTACTATGAGACTAGGCAGTGCAGGTTCCCAAAACTTATGAGGACCAAACCCAGGACCTTCAGGTTTTTTGACTAGCACTTAACTGTAAGATACTTTATCTGATATTCAGCGCACAGCATTTACAACTTTGATCGATTAACCATACTTTTTAATCACTTTCTATTCCCGTTATTTAGTTACCGGCCCAAATCTGACGTGGTTAAACTTCACTGATCACGGTTTCTTACTAGAACTCGGTGAATTAACACCTGACACATTATTATTGTTCACATAGTGAGTGCTTATTGGTTTTCAGTGATTATCCAAATAAAATCAGTATGTATTGTAAACTATGATACTCAACAAGCTCCACATACCTTTCATAGACGAAAAGGTATTTATGAGGTATAACCTGTTATTCACCTTTCTAATTATACGTATTCATACTGATGTATTTGTTACGTCCTTGATCTGTTTACCCACTTTTGTGCACCGGATAACTTGTCTAATCTAGATTGAAACCTTGACACGATAGGCTGACTGGCTTAAACGTGATGCTAGTATGCCTGAGTTCGAAGTGAAACCAACTGCTTGGGGTAGAGAGACAAAAGCTCTTCTATCATCTGATTGGCTAAGAAGCACACGAGTGAGTGGAGACAAGTCAACTGGAACACTATCCCATTTATTCTCCATTCCGATCTGGTTCTCGACATCAGAATAAATAGAACACTAACCAGACCACAACGCACAACAATTAGGAAAATGCAATTATGTCGAAAACTGGAGATTAGCGTAGAAAATAGATTAAAAAATATTACGTTTAAATGACAATAGCTATGGAACAAAATAGGCTATGATAATGAATCATACATTAAACGAAAGCTTATGATTTGTAGAATAGACTAGGGACGAAAATAAATGTTGATGTTTTACAAGCTTTGAATGAAATGAAATAACGTCCCCGAAAAAATAGCTTCCGTAGTTTGTCAAGGCCTCTTGTTTCTCTGTCCACATCAATATTCACCTAAATACATATATGTTTAAAACATTTACTACAAGAGTACCTCACTATATATTTATATATATGTTCTTTTATTTACTTTTTTTCATATAGAATAAGAAAAACATGTCAAAAAGTAGCTGAAAAACTATATCCTAAACTACCTGAAACTGGACAACGACTTGAATTTATTCCAGTGAATTGGCGTAGTTCATTATCATTGAATTCAAAAACTTTAGATAATGTAACTATAGCACAATTAAGACCATTACGTGATTATATAAATCAAAGTTTTGTTGATATTTTATATTATACAAGTCCTGTATATCGTCATGATATTATGCAAAGTTTAAGTTATGAATTAACTAGATTATTTAATTTATTTTGTTCAAAAAATCCACAATTTCTTCAAAAAGGTGGTCAAATCTCTGTACTTGCACATTCACTTGGTAGTGTTATTATGCATGATATTTTACGAAGTACCGAAATTAAATTACCAAATTCATTATTTCATTCATTAGCAGTAAGTTAAAAAGAATTGTTTTAAATTCGCTAGCTATTGTTTTACTTGTATCTTCCTACTGTTATTTAGGACTGCAATTGATCAGTCTCATGTTGACATATGTGCATACTGTGTGGATTGCCTCGACATCGCCTTAAGTCACAAACGTTTTAAGCAAAGATGGATTGTAGCTAGCAGTGGAATCCAGGACGCACGTTTTGTCCTGTTTGGGACTCGTCCGATGGATGTACCTGCATCCCAGAGTTGATGTTCACTCCAGGACTTGAACCCAGCACCGTTTTCTTCAAACGCCATTGCGTTATCCACTTAGCTACTGAGTCGTGATAGCCACCTGCTTGTGCAAAGGGGTGAAGTTTAAATTCGCCTGGTGTTGTTTTACTTGTATCTTCTCATTGTTATTTAGGACTTCGACTGATCAGTCTCGTGTTGACATATGTGCATCCGGTGCGGGTTGCCTCGATGTAGCCTTAAGTCACAAGCTTTTTAAGCTTGTTATTGTTAATGTTTACTGATTAACTCGAAGTCATAGTGCTTAATAATCATAAAAAAAGGAGATTTTATCCACGTTTTATTATTTTCATATGAGAATCCCTGTAATGATATTAATTAATCTTTGATAAGATATATGAAAAGTTGAAGATGAAAACTACCGTAATTCTACCAAAAATTAAGTCCAAAACGTTTAAGATGTAAAGCTTTAGATTTTTGATCCGAATAACGATAGCTTCAGTCATCTGCAAGATTGTCAGTCTGGCAGAATTAGGTAGACTGCTGTTAACACGACATATCATCGCGAAAGATTGGTCTTACTTTTTATTTTATGGTTTACAACACGAACCGACTCAAGTTACACCATCATTAGAAACGAGGAAGCATCAGACAACTGAATTGTCCTATTCTGGGATTCCTTAGCAGTGGTCTTAAGACCACTAGGGCAGCATCAAATCGCTTACATGTCTTGCTTAAATCTATTAGCTAAATTGAGTCATTGTCAGTGTTGGGCGACTTCCTCACTCTCGACGTATAATAGATCCCCGAAAGATTGGGAGGGTTAGCCTGTTGAGGATCACCATGTTAGGACGGAACAGTTGTCTAGTGCTTCCTGGTTTTCAATGGTTACTTAAGTAATTTCAGTCTGTGATATAAGCTTTAAGTCGTAATCGATATCATGTTGACCAAGGGATTCAAACGCCAATCAGGATAAAAGTCAGGAACTATTTAAGACTAAACGAATTGCTCCACAATTTCGTGTCATCCAGACTAACATCTACAGAATACAAGATTTATTTAGCAAATTTGTTATAACATTTTATCAAGTAATGCAATATTTAACTAAAATCTCTCAAATAATAACTATCAGTCATTCTACAGATGATATACATTGTGATTAAGAGATTTCGATAATGATATTAGAAGACGAAGATTATCAGAACTATGTGATATATTAGCGCAATACATTTCGAACAATCTGGTCACACATATACTTGTTAAGAGCATTTATATATAAAAATAAAAGGTAAGAGGAGATAAGGATAATGATAAGAGTAATAATAATATTAATGTGAACACAATTTGAAACCTAATCACTCTGGATAATAAGTCAATATTACCAGGGTAGGTTTAAGGTAAGAACAAACTGTTTTTGAACACATAAAGGGGGTTTGAATTTTCGTATGGCTAAGGCTTCAATGAACCTTAGTATACGCCCTTTTACACTTTTATACAGCACTACAAAAGCTGAATTTAGATCAATCTTGTGACCTGTTTCAATTATATGTTTAGCAATAGAGGATGATGGATGTTTATCCTCTGCTCTTATCGGGTCACTTGATTGTATTTGTTTCTGAAGCCATTTGGGTACATGTTCACTCACCCTAATGTTGAGATCACGATTACTCCTCCCTATGTATGTGTGACCACACACACATTTAAATTGGTAAACACAGTGAGATGTGACGCAATCGTTTCCATGTACTTTAGGTTTTGAATGAAGCATGCACCTTGTTCTTTCTTTGATGATGACCTTTGCTGCGCAATAGGTTTTATTGATGACTGATTTAAGTCGTTGTTTCAGTAAAAGGCTATTTGAATCACCTCTGAATGGTGAGGTGATGTAGACAGGCTTTTTCTCTACCGAGGCTATAGTAGGTCTCGCTGAACCATGGACTTTCCATCTATTTATGAATTTCAGAGGATAGCCATTTTCTATTAACGTTTTATTTAACAACTTAACATCATCATCAATGGCGTCATTGGTACAAATACGGTCGAGTCTGTTGAAAAGACACCTTATCAAACCACGTTTGTATTGCACAGGACAATGGCTATAATAACTAAGATATTGACCTGTCCACGTTGGTTTTCTAAAAATAGATCGCTTTACTGAACCATCTTCTCGTCTACTCAGGAGTATATCTAGGAAGGGAAGCTGATCGTTTTTCTCCTCTTCACATGAGAGACTAATATGGTTTTGGAGAGTGTTGAGTTTATTTAATAAACCGTACATATCCTCTTTTTCTCACAAACAACTAAGATATCGTCCACATATCTCTTATAAAGTGACATGTTTCCGATTAATTCATCAGTCTGATTTTCAACATGTGCCATGAACACATCTGCTAGTAATGGTCCTAGCGGACTACCCATAGCAACTCCATCAATCTGACGAAAGTATTCACCTTCAAAAGTGAACTGAACTTTGTCAGTACATAGTAATAGTAATCTTTAAGAAGTTTTACAGGTACACGTGATTGAAAATTGTTTTCAGATATGTAATCACATAATATATCAATGGTTTTTTTTAAAGGTACATTTGTAAACAAGGAATTTACATCAAATGAACACATTGTCTTTTCCTTGATATTAATATCATCTAACTGACCAACCAGTTCAAAAGAATCCTTTAGAGAATACTTACATAGATGTCTTCGAAAAGGATCCAACAACTTTGCTAACCATTTAGCCAGATTATGAGTAGGTGATCTGCACATTGATAGAATTGGACGTAAAGGAACGTTAGGTTTGTGAATTTTAGGCAGTCCATATAAATGAGGGTACTCGGAACCCATAGGTTTTAGAAAGTTAAATTCCTCTTTATTAATAATATTCATGAGAAGCAATTTTTCTAGGTTTGAATTTACTCTTCTTTCTAGTTTGCTGATACCTCCAAATTCAACATCAGGCATAAATTTACTGTCATCACTAAGGATAGATAACATCTTACTTTTATATTCACATTTATTCATGATAACTACGCCTGATCCTTTATCAGGTTTTAACAAGACAATATCAGAGTTTGATCGTAGTTCTTTTAATGATTTAAAATGCTGAGAAGTTAATATGCTTCTCTGCTTCGGGCCAACACTATGAAATTGGTGTGCTATATCCACTAGTTTAGCTTTACACCAGCTTTGATTATTTGAAGACGTAGGGGTTAGAGTACTCAGTTGATCATATAGATTTTCAAACTGGGCATTTATTTCCAATTCAGACATTTGCGTTATAGGGACGGAGAAATTAAAACCAAGAGAAAGGGCTTCCTGTTCATTAGCAGATAATACAATGGAGGATAAATTAGTGACATACTTTTCGGGATTTACTGGGAATAAATTAACTTGATTAGTAATAATACAAGATTTTTCGAGCTTATTACTGATCCTTGAAACAGGTCACAAGATTGATCTAAATTCAACTTTTGTAGTGCTGTATAAAAGTGTAAAAGGGCGTATACTAAGGTTCATTGAAGCCTTAGCCATACGAAATTCAAACCCCCTTTATGTGTTCAAAAACAGTTTGTTCTTACCTTAAACCTACCCTGGTAATATTGACTTATTATCCAGAGTGATTAGGTTTCAAATTGTGTTCACATTAATATTATTATTACTCTTATCATTATACTTATCTCCTCTTACCCTTTATTTTTATATATAAATGCTCTTAACAAGTATATGTGTGACCAGATTGTTCGAAATGTATTGCGCTAATATATCACATAGTTCTGATAATCTTCGTCTTCTAATATCATTATCGAAATTTATCAAAGGGACTAATTGTTTTAGATTAAGAGATTGTTATATCCTGATGAAAATAATCAATGATAATTGTTGGAATCTATGTCTGGAATATTACTATACATATTTTCTAATTGTGTAATTGTCAAGTAACTAAACTATACACATTCATGTCCTTCTTATCATGAGCTTTATTTTGACCTATGAGCTATTATTATACGATTTACCATTATTGAGTTATGCCCAGTCTATTAATCACCACCTCCCTTATTCACAGCCACATATGGCTAAATCTTGTACAAATGTTATTTTCTATTTTATGGTACGATGTGGTCTGTTTGGTTGATATATAAACCCAGTATGTATGAAGTACAGGGTTCATATCGCGGAGGCTGAGATTGGTGTTCTGGACTTAACAGGAAGGGCTAGGCAGAAAGAAGGACCAATAAGGATTCTAGATTGCTTGTACGGGTTTATGCATTATCGGTCTGATTGATAAGTCACTATTCTCTAATTGCCAATATCATTACGTTATACATTAATAGGTCACAAGGCCCATGAGATTTAATAGATAAATAATACAACGGATAATAAAGTCAAGTTTAAATGAGATGTAGATTCCTGTAAAGAGTAAATTCAAAACAAAGAAATAAATAAACGTATGCATATAAACGTATATATATACATATAATCCTAGCTGTGATCTAGCCATGTTGATAGATGTAGACTACTTGATTGGGGTCCTCGTGACCATCGTAACCAATGGGTGGAGACTGTCGGTGACATGGCTCACAATCAACCACGATGATATAGGTGTATACACTGTCTATACACTTCTATCTTTCTACCAACTAAAAGTTTCTTTCGGTACTTTATATATTACACCATGGGGTCAACTATTTCTATGAATTCGATGTTCGTCTTGCTGTGTTATTGAGGTGTGGCAACTTGGACCGATGCATGTAAGTGCCTGGTCCTACGTTGTAACTAACTGATTGATTGACTGACTGACATAGTAATTTATTTTCAAAACTAATTTACTTAACGTTTTTTACAGAGAAAAACAGTGAGTGATGAGTTTGAACTCATCACTTTATTCATAAAATTATTCTGTATACAATCTAAATTGTTGTTTAGTGTTTTAACTGTTTGGTATAGTACTAAGTAGACTCATAAAAGGTTTTGTGCTTTGCCAAAATATGAATAGAACTCTACTGGTAGTCTGAAGGTACTCATATACTCATATCCTTTATCTAACCATATACTTATATTTGCAGGAACCTTAATACAAATGTAAATAATTAAGTATTGTATGACATTTAACTTGAAAGTTATTCCTTCTAGGACTTCTACAATTATATAGTGATCTTTGCAATCTTATAATTTGCTATGATATTACCCTACCTGAACAAGAACCAATTCCATTGTCTTTGGCATATCTTATTCGCACAGCATTATAAATCGCACCATGTGACTTTTGTCTACATTGCAATCAAAGACCGACTGAGAACACCATGTAAGCTTAATAAAAAGTATATATTATGACGAAATTATATAAGATGGGAAAATATATATTACAAATCAGATACATTCATGTATTATTCTATCTGTAATGTCAAGGAATCACAGTTGAATTCCATGTACACAACAATATTCCACATAATGTACACCTAATTCCGTTGGCTAATTCTCTTGTAAAATACCATTTAAATGATGATGCTTACATGTCTAATTTCCTTTTAAATGGAATTTTAAAATGTCTATTGTGATATTCGAATTTATCACATTTGATTTTCATTGAAGAAATGTTGTTGTTATGTATTAATCATTCATCTATCTATGTGTTCAAGTTAGATTTCATCATCTCTGGATTTCATATTTACTTACTTACTTACGCCTGTTACTGCCGATGGAGCATAGGCCACCAACCAGTATTTTCCGAACCATCCTGTCCAAGGCCTTCCTTTCTAGTTCTATACAATTTTTGGTCATTCCTCTCAAGTCTGTATCCATTCCTCGACGTAATATGTTCTTTGGTCTTCCTCTCCTCCTTTGGCCTTGAAGATTCCAAGTGAGGACTTGCCTTGTGAGGCAGTTGGGTGCTTTCCTCAATGTGTGTCCCATCCACTTCCAGCACTTCTTCCTGAATTCTTCCTACGCTGGGATCTGGTTTGCTCTCTCCCACAGTAGGTGGTTGTTGATATTGTGTGGCCAACGGATCCGAAGAATTTTGTGTAGACAACTGTTAATAAACAGTTGTATCTTCTGAATGATGGGTTCCGTAGTCCTCTAAGTTTCCACCCCAGACATTGGCACTGTCTTGATATTTGTATTGAAAATTCTGACTTTGCTGTTGGTTGACATATACTTGTTTGGAATTCCACATGTTCTTCAATTGTAAATATGCTGCTCTTGCTTTTCCGATCCGTGCCTTCACATCTGCATCAGATCCACCGTGTTCATCAATCATACTGACCAGATATGTAAAGGTTTTTGCATCCTGCAAAGCTTGTTGTGTTGTATCGGAGAATCTTGCTTTTCCCATTGTGTATGTTGAGATCTACTGCTGCTGAGGCTGCTGCTACACTGGTCGTCTTCTTTTGTATTTGTTTTTGCGTGTGCGATAGAAGATCCAGATCATATGCAAAGTCTAGATAGTCCAGCTGCATACTAGCTGTCCACTGTATCCCATGCTCCAACCAGATGTTGACGTCTTCATGATGCAGTTGATCACTGGGAGAAAGAGAAAGGATGAGAGTAACCAACCTTGTCTAGATTTCATGCTCTCCTTCTAAATGAAAATAAAAAGTTGCTTACTTAAAATATAATTATTTATTCTATCAACCGTTTTGAATCTTCTCATTGATGTTAATAACTGCGATTGATTAGTTTTTTTCTTGGTTTGTATAAATCCTGCGCAAATTGTCTCAATATTTGAACTGCATAATAAGAAGACGAAGTTTATCAGTACTACATGTTGATACATTAGCACAATACATTTCGAACAGTCTGATCACATATATATATCAAATGCCTCAGTAAGAGTAGATGATAAACATCCATCACCCTGTATTGTCAAACACACAATTGAAACATATCATAAGATTGATCCTAACACGGCATTTGTGGTGTTGTACAAAGGTGCATATACTGATCTCCATTGAAGCCTTAGCCATACGAAAATTCTAATTCCCCATTTATGTGTTCAAAAACAGCATGTTTCCACCTTAAATTTACCCTGGTAATATTGGCTTATTATTCAGAGTGATGAGGTTTCAAATTGTTTTCACCTTATTTTCTTTATTATGCTTATCTCCTCTTACTCTCCATTTCTAGTCTAGTTGACCTTTTATTTTCATATATATAAACGTTCTTAACAAGTATACACCGTGTGATCAGATCTTTTGAAATGTATTGCGCTAATATATCATCACATAATCTTTATCTTCTTATTACACTGTCTCAATATTGTCATTCAGTTACAAACATCATTATCAACATCATGAATTCCATTGCTAGCCATCATCAATATCTGTTTATAATGGTTCTATTATTTAGTTGTTTATTGACATTCTAGTAATTATTCAACTAATTATGAGTTAATAATGAATGCATTTTCGGTTATATAGTCAATACTCTCTGTATTTGAATGACATGGTGGGGTCGTGGATCCGCACTGCTGAGAAGTCCCAAAATAGAACGAAACGGCCGTCCAGTGCTTCCAGGTTTTACATCGTGTTCTAGCTTCAATTGACTCATGATCTCAACTATTGACATATACATATATTAGAAAGTGGGTTTGTAAAGATTGTAATGATTTTAATAGATGATTTTATTAGCCAATATAAGTTAAACCACTATTGAAAACCTAAAAGTATTGGACAGCCGTTTTTGTCCTAGTATGAGACTCGTCGGCAGTGCGCATCCTCGGTTCGAGTCCAGCATGCAAGATCGTGGTTATACTATATATGCATATTACATTTCCTTCAGGAACAAGTATGAACATTCATAAGTTTTTAATTAATGTCTACAACTTTATTTTATATTTCCTATATGTATATATGTTTTTTTCTTTATTTCTGTTAATAAAGGATTTAAGTTGTTCACAATCATCACTTCATGATAATGAATGTGGAACAATTGCCCTTAGGCCGAAAAAAGGAAGGACTCGGTAAGTTGATATTCATAATTGATTTATTTTTTTAAATTTTAATGATCCCTTCTAATTTTTCTGATATTTATTTATAACAATGAATTATAAGTAATAATAATGATATATATTCTCTTCAAGATTAAACACTTAGTGTTTACAACAAGTTGCTCTTGTAGTTAGAACATCTTGAAGAATTTCACCGAAATGGTGGAATTCCTCAGATGGTTGAAATGATAGTTTGCTAATGAAGCTGATCACACCAAAGTCTCAACATGATGGACTTTGGAAAAAACAGGTTCATCGAGTATTTGATTATAGTTTGAGGAATTTAGGTTATTATTTGTATAAAAGTGATTGATTTCAGTTTTATAAAAGGTCGTTCGAAATGTGATTAACTCAATGTTAAGGGGTCTTAGATTATAGAAATGTATGACAAGGAGCATAAATTATACCTACAGCATTAGTTCCCTGAATATTTTAGGTACACAATAGTAACGAATACCGAGTAGCATGAAACCTAGGTCCATAATTTCCTTCCGACTACCTTCAACCACCTAAAATTGTTTACTTATAAATCAATCCTACGAAATAATTTGAGTATCAGAATTGGTTTTATGGAGATTGTAGTAATTTCAATAGTTGAGATCATCAATCAATTGAAACTAGACCACCATGGAGAATTTGGAAGCACTGGACGGCCGTTTCGTTCTATTATGGGGCTCCTCGACAATGCGCATTCACGACCCGCCTCTTCAATTGACTCATAATCTCATCTATTGAAATTTCAATATTGTTTGATTATTAGATAAGCAACTAATAATCAAAGATTATAGAACAACTAATCATTTCTCAAATCTGACCGTCGTAACATAAATTTATTTCAGTAATGATTACTGTAACGATTCATGGTTTTAGTAGTCATTAAATGAAATTAATATGAATTTGTTTCAAAATTATCAGTATTTTATTTACAAAACAATTTATTTTAAACTTTCCATACTGTGTTCAATGAAAATCTAAGTGTTAAAGGGATATAGATTGGATTAAAACTGTTCCGTGCACGATTGTGTTGGGGCACGTTGATTGGCTACCTCCTAACCAATCAGCGCTAGCTGGGACTTGGAGAAGGCTTTAGGATCTTGTTATGTAAAAATGATAAATTATACTAATGTTTTATTTCTTGTGGTTCCTACTTCATTCCAACCCTGTTCTTTGGGATATAATTACGTTCGTGTTCAACTATGCTCTGATTTAAGAACTTGTCTAGTGAAGTAATGTTCAAGAATAATAAGCAATAGGAGCAGCTGGGTCGTAATCATAACACTAAGTGACCTAATAATTCCTATTCCTATTATTATTATTATTATACTCTTTAATGGCCAAAACTGAATATAGTTTCTAAGTTTTATAGAAATATTACTTGTTTCAGGATCATGAAAGTAATTGATTGATTATTGAAAATTAATTTGTAATATTAATTATAATCTTATCCACAAATCTCTAGGGGTAGTATATTCTCCCTCACTAATGTCACACATAAACTTGTCGCCGAAGTACTGTGGAACTATTTATAACTTCTAGATGACAATCTAATCTATAAAGATGAAATGTTTCTTTTATTTTTTTTCTTTGTAAGTTACTGGGTATAGTTCTATGATTTGTAAATTAATAATTATACGACTATATATATAAATTAAATAACGTTTCTATCATTGATTATACATCGAGTATACTACGCAGCAGTTCGTTCTGTTCTACTTTACGGCTGCAAAACGTGTCCATTAAGAATAGAAGATACTCGTAAGTTGCTAGTATTCTGTTGTAACGGGTGTGACTGCAGGGTTTGCTAGACAGCGTTTATATCGATCGCTCGCTTCTGTGACTGTGACACGGAAACACGTAGTGGACGACCTAGTGCCCTGATTGGCCCTGCCTCGCTGTCTGTCCCAGCCAGTTGAGTCAAGAACACAAGTCACTGCCTCTGAGTTATGAATCATTGTATTTCAAACATACTCTATTTATATACCAAGCAAACAAACCACATCGTACCATAAAATAGGAAACAACATTTGTACAATATTTAACAAGTGAAATAAACATCGACCAATAAGAAATGTACATTTAAGGTTCAAGGACACCATTGAACTTAACATGATAATTATTGGTCTCTTTTTCCGACTATCCTAACATATTCAATCACAGATGCCGTGTAAATATTGCTCGCATCTTCTGGAATCATCGGTTAAGAAATAGTGAGGTTAGACGCAAGGTATTAGAACATTATGTTAAATCAGTTGATGAAGTTGTAAATATTCATCGACTGAGATGTTTGGGCCACGTGTTGTGTATGCCTGAACACCGATCACCACAACGCCCAATGTTGACTAGTGTTGGGAATGGTTGGAAGAATGTTAGGCGTGGCCAAACTAAAACGTGTCATCAGTCCTTGAAGTCACTAACTTCTGATCTCAGCCATTTTGGTAGATGCAGACTACTTGATTGTCGGCGTGACTATCCTAATCAATGGTTGGAGACTGTCAATGACGGCTCGAAATCGATCACGCAGGCATAAGTGTATACACTCTTTGTCTTCCCTTAAACCGTAAGATTAAAATTACTTTTATCTTTTCCCACAGTAGGTGGTTGTTGATATTGTGTGGCCAACGGATCCGAAGAATTTTGTGTAGACTACTGTTAATAAACAGTTGTATCTTCTGAATGATGGGTTTCGTAGTTCTCTAAGTTTCCACCCCAGACATTGGCACTGTCTTGATATTTGTATTGGAAATCCGGACTTTGATGTTAGAAATATATAATCTAATTCTTAATCACTTTCTTGTAGGAAAAAGTTTTGTTCATTCCGTTTAACCTAACAGATTAAATTTATAGAACGAAGTGAAGTGAACAAAATGAATAACAAAGAGTTAGATGTAACGGCATCGTTTACGATGATAAAAAAGGACTTAAAATCGAGAGTCGTTTAAAAAAAGAAACGAAATGATCGAATCAATCAGTGTCGTTGAAGCTGATTTCGAGTTGTCTCACTTAAGGTCTTTTGCTCTTGCCATCGATTATAATGTAATTTATACATCCAATATGTACACCTAAGTTCACTTAAATATCTAATAACTCAATGAGTTAAAATCCTTTGTTTGTTTGGTCATTTCCGAGCTCCATTTCAACTTTCTTCTCGTTCAATAAACATTGCACCTCAGGAAAATAACAGATGGACGTGTTTTAATACGTAACACCTCAGTTGATGAAGATTCACAGTCTTATTAACTGGTTTGCTATTTTTAACAAGAATCCTATATGTAACCTCATCATTGCTCATTTGGCAGTTCAACCCTTAAGTAAAAAATTTTTCATATATACATATGATTAATTATAAACAATCTAGTAATTTCAGTAGTTGAAATAATGAGTCAATTGAAGCTAGACCACCATGCAAAATCTGGAAGCACTGGTCGACCGTTTCGTCCTAGCATGGGACTCCTCAGCAATGCGCATCCACGATTCTGCCCCCGCGAGATTTGAACTCAGGACCTATCAGTCTCGCGTGCGAGCGCCTAACCACTGAGCTCATTAGCGACTGACTTCAAGAGGCATTTCCTGGAGTTCTAGTGAGAAACGGTGACCAGTGAAGTTCAACCAGGTCTGTTGTGAAATATCGGCTCACTGAAGACAACGGTGTACGGTGGCACAATTTCGTGGATTGGATAAAGTTAGACACTAACACCATTGGATACCGGCTTAGTGGTATAGTGGTTAAGCGCTCGCTCGCGAGACTGATAGATCATGGGTTCGAATCTCGCGGGGGGGGGCGGGATCGTGTGTGCATATTGATGAGGAGTCCCAAACTAGGACGAAACTGTCGTCCAATGCTCACAGGTTTTCCATGGTGGTCTAGCTTCAATTGACTCATGATTTCAACTATTGAAACTACTAAAAATCTGGACAAAACCCTTCTAATCTAGTAATTTATTTAAGTGATAAGTCGTTGTTGTAATATTTATATGAACTTAGTTTATAGCTTTTCTCATTGTATTAGTTTACTATGCGCATCGAAAATTATTACTGATTCGTCATTATTATCATTGTGTTCTTTTAGTAACTTAACTGGTTATTCGAATTCCGGATCGAAAGAGTCAGTCAGTAATATTACCAATAATAGTAATAATAATACAGATCGCGATCGTACCTTGAAATATCCAAATGTAAGTTTTCCTTTATATTTAATCATTTCCTACGTATAACAAAATCATATGAAATCGTGTGTTTGATTTTCTCATATATCCTATCAGCTGTTTTAGTGATGTTTATGTCGTCAGCGCTATCCTCAACTGCACATTCAAAGGGAGTCGACAGAGCCACAACTGATAAAATATGTTTTTGTCTACCTTCCTGTCCTCTATTATGCTGCTTATGTAATTTTTTTTAGGTGTGATGGAGTCCTGTCTCCTATCTGCACTTGACTGAAAAGCTGCTTGACGGCTTTTATCACAGCCTGCTTTGATACGTCATGCGGCTTTTCTGCATCCAGTTTAATAAGAAACTCTCACAAATTGTCCGCTACTTCATCCAGAAGCAGTGAGCTTGCGTGGCCAAATTTATCTTGTTGCAAATGAATACGGTTAGCTAAAAGGTAATTTTTAAGCCAAATAAACCAAAGTTGTGGGTCGGTGACACTAAAAGGAAGAATAGTAAAATTATGGGGCCTCACGTACGGCGCTTGTGGAAGACTTATTGTGTCTTTATCTGAAGACATGTTTGTATACAATGAGTAGTACACAAATACATAAACCTATATATAAAGGAAGGAAATTAGATGGACAGTAATAATGCTAGTAACAAATGATAAAATGGTATAACACGGAACAGACTTACTAAACTTCATTAGTATAATAATTGTATGTATGTCGTTACTTGTGGTTGTTAATATTGTCAAAATATGTTCAATAATGTTTATGAAATAGTTATCATGTCATGAATATACGATAATAATAATAATCCACTGTAATAATTCGTATCGAGATAGATTAGGTTGATTCTTGTATTTCGATAGAATCCTAGAAAGCTATGTTCTCTTATATATTACCACCTTTGACCTAATCACTGCTATGAATCCGGTGTTCATCTTGTTATGCTGATGCGGTATGGCAACCTGGACCGATGCACATATGTGCCTGGTCCTACGTTGTAGCTGACTGACTGACTGAGAAAGCTATGTTGCGTTCGTATGTCGGAAATCAACAATTCTGTGACGATCGGTATTCGATATAATTCTTAAAATTCGTATACTGTTCTTACCGATAACCGTTAGTGGATAACGCCCAACGATGTATAAATCAGAAAACGAATACAGAGCGTTGACTACGTTTATTATCGCACTATACACGAAGCAAGAATGATATGTGAGTGCCGAAGAGTAAGCAAGCGAGTGAGTCTATGGACAGGATTAAAATGTACATATATATAGATAGGAAAGTGAATACATCATCGAATCATTTAAGCGACTAACACTAAAGCTAGCAGAATGAGTATTTGAGTATATGGTAAGCAATGCTCAAGCATACATGTTTATACAAGCGTAACAATGAAATTACATTGGTATAGATAAGATTTTTTTGTTGTATGAATGACTCTGTCTGTTAAATAAGTTAATAAAAGGGCTTAACCAAATTATATATATGTATATCATTTATGATGTGAGTATCTACCTTTATACATCAAACATGAAGCTTCTGCACTTGAGCTCTCTGTGAAGCATTGAACCTATCGTGATTAGTGAAAATTTTTGTTGGCTAATACCGACAAGAATGAAACCTTGATCTTTGGACGCTTGTAAATTTTCGACTGACCATTTAAGAAGTATGTATTCTATTAAAATCAGTTCATAGAACTGACCAATATAATTTGGGTAATATTGTTTAAAGGTTAGTATGTGTAGGATTTAAATTAGATTCGTGCTGTTTAACAGTATACTTAATTGTTTCTAGTGATGACTGATTATCACATGAAACCGAGATTGCATGTGTTTATTTCTATCTTTTATTTCAGTTACCGTTATGAATTGTCATTAGCTATTATTGTTAGAACCCGGTCATTACTAAAAATCGTTGGATTTATTGTAAATTGATTATCGACTTTATTAATTTCTAAAAACCCACTATGCTAATGATAATCATTTATCTATTAGTAACCAATTTTGAAAGGTGATTTTCAGAGTTCTAGTGAGAAGACATAACCATTCAAGTTCAACCATTTCTGGGGTGAGGGAGTTATCTATCAATCACACTGGAAGATAGTTGCTTAATATCACGAATTGACTGAAGTCGGACATATAAAACATCGGATACTGGACTCAGTCATTTAAAAGTTAGATGTCAACCGTGAAACCTGACGTACTTGGGTTCGAACCCCATCGGTGCAGTAACCTTGTACTGTTGCCGACCTTCACAATAAGATGATATAGCTGTCTAGTACGTCCTAGTCTTTAATTGTTGTCTAGTTAAGATCACGTTGTGGTGTGAGCTATAAGATTTCACAAGAACACAAAAATTATAGGATAGCTGAGCTTATTTGGAAATAATTAAAGAAATCAGGCATCTAGTTTCCAACTAAACTGCTTTCTTGATATTGTATCATACATTTCAAAATCATATTTTAATCCAACATTCGAAAACATACTATCACCAGACCTCTGACTATAACCATGATACATTGTTTAAGTCTCTGTATTCACTAGTATAATAAACACTGAATGTTCCATATAATGAACCATATAATCAAAACTCACTTTTATTTTCGTTGCATCGGACCATAATACAACTTTCATATTTTGTTTTATATTGACCGATGGGAATTTTCTTAATGATTAATAATCAAAAAGTAGTAATTCTTTTACAATCAAGTTGCTATGCACATAGATTTAATATTTAGAATAAAATATTTAGAAATTTATCTCAGTTCTAATCTTTAACTGTTTAATAGCGGGGATCATTTTTGGAAAATATATCAAAACCAAAAGAATGGAAATCTGTACCACAGGTATTACTTGTGTTTTACATAGATTCGAATTTACATGTGTACATGAGCTGTTGAAATGTTCGTCAGCGTGTATATATATATATGTGTGTGTGAGTGTGTGTATGGGTGTGTGTGTGTGACGAATTCATCTGCTTAACATAGAATTGAATCTAGTGTTAACTACCAATATATACTTTATATATATTACTTAGAAGAAACGTTCACCTCATGTTAACTTATAAAAAAATAGTATTCGGTGTAATTCACAATATTTTCTAACTGATCACTTTCAAGTTATCCTAAATATATACTGTTTATATATGAATGATGACCGAATGTCTACTTATGGCAATAATCTACTGATGTGTGTTTTTTATATGCTTATTTTGATAGTAACTAACATTATATGGTTTGGTGATTAATTCTAATACAGTTTATATCAATTAAGTGACAATATTGCCATTATTATCAGAAGGGGTTTTGTGGAGATTTAGTATTTTCATAGTTGAAAGCGTGAGTCAATTGAAGCTAGACCACCATGGAAAACCTGGAAGCACTAAACGGTCGTCTCGTCCTAGTATGGGACTCCTCATCAGTATGCAACCACGATCCCGCCCCCCACGAGACTCGAACTCAGGATCTATCGGTCTCGCGAGCGAGCGCTTAACCGTTATACCACTGAGCCGGCATCCAATGGTGTTAGTGTCTAACTTCAACCAATCCACGAAATTACGCCACCGTACACCGTTGTCTTCAGTGAGCCGATATCTTACAACAGACCTGGTTGAACTTCACTGGTCACTGTTTCTCACCAAAACTCCAGGAAATGCCTCTTGAAGTCAGTCGCTAGTGATCTCAGTAGTCTAATGATTAGGCGTTCGCGCGTGAGACTGATAGGTCTTGAGTTTGAATCTCGCGGGGGCAGAATCGTGACTGCCCACTTCTGGAGAGTCCCGTACTAGGACGAAACGGCCATCCAATGCTTCCAGATTTTCCATGGTGTTCTAGCCTCAATAGACTCACGATTTCAACTGTTGTAAATATTGCTATTAGTCTAAATGATTCAATTTTATCTTATTTAATATCGAAATCAATAACCGTGGCAGTTAGTGACATGAATACACTTCCTATTTTAAATATCAGTTTCCTTAACATTGTGGATAATGACATTCTGACAATTGCTAACTAGAAAAAAAAATTAGATCAAGCATGATTTATTTTACTATGTTGGCATGTTTATCTGGATTATGAACGTATTATAGACTATTCTAGATATTCAATGTTTGATATATCTAGAATTCAGTATGGTTATTTTTTATTCAAGATAGAAACTCATATTGAACATATAATTCCCACTTAGACATTGATAACACAAAGTTCAACAAAAGCATCTCTTTCTGATGAGTTTGTTATCAAGCCGTAAAATTGTATATACATATATATGGAATTTTGGCAAAGCAAGGACCGCATTTAAACAATTGAACAACATATGGAAATCAAAACAACTGTCAACAAATATCAAAGTCAGAATCTTTAATACGAACGTCAAGACAGTCCTATTATACGGAGCTGAATGCGGAGAACTACCGCAATCATCATCAAAAATGTACAAGTATTTATAAACAATTGACTACGCAAGATACTCAACATCCATTGGCTGGATACCATCAGCAACAGCGTTCTGTAAGAAAAGACGTTAGAAGTGGATATGATATACATTGTAAAAATCATCAAGCTGCAACACGAGGTAAGTTCTAGCATGGAATCGTGTAGGGAAACGGAAAAGAGGAAGGTCAAAGAACACATTGCGTTGGGAATGGGAAGCAGATATGAATAGGATGAATAGCAACTGGAAAGAACTGGGAAGGATTGTCCAGGACAAAGTTGGATGGAGAATAATGGTGAGCTGCCTATGCCTATGAGAGGTAAAAAGCGTAAGTAAGCAATATATGAAATTTCAAGTACTAATTCTGTGAGAACATATGAACAATGAATTAACGTGATGATGTGACAGAAAGATTATAATACTAGATTATGTAGTGTGAAATTCTTTATATTCAACTCCTCAAAACGGTATAAGTTCTTACTATACATCGAACGAAGCTTGAAGTATATTTATAATGTGACCTTAAAATATTGCTATTATTATGATAACTTTATTTTCATCTCATTGATTTCACACTTGTAAATATACCCATCTCTTTATAATTATTTGTCATATTACCATTATTCTATTCATAAAGAATTGACGGAAGGGCACCACTAGTAGTGAAGCCTGCTGTTTAATTCGACCCAACACAGGAAAGCTCACCCGACCCGGACACTGTGAGGATTGACAGATTGATAGCTCATTCTTGATTCGGTGGGTGGTGGTGCATGGCCGTTCTTAGTTTGTGGAGCAATTTGTCTGGTTAATTCCGATAACAAACGAGACTTTAACCTGCTAAATAGTAGACTGGTCCTCTGTGCTCGCTTAGAGCGCGGCTTCTATTGCTTCTTTATGGGGTAGTGTGGTCGTGGCACAGTTAAGTCGCACGAGATCGAGCAATAACAGGTCTGTGATGCCCTTAGACGTCCGGGGCCACACGTGCGCTACAATGACGGTGCCAGCGAGTCTGGAAACCTGGCCCGAAGATGTTGGTCAAACTGCTTCATCACCATCGTGACTGGGCTCATGGCTCGCAATTATTCCTCTTGAACGAGGAATTCCCGGTCAGTGCAAGTCATAAGCTTGCGCTGATTACGTCCCTGCCCTTTGTACACAACGCCCGTCGTTTCTACCGATTGAATGGTTTAGTGAGGTCATTGGATTGGTGTCGTTGTAGTAGCTTTGCAGCTCGACTGATACTGGGAAGATGACCTAGTTTGACTATTTTAAGGAAGTAAAAGTCGTAACAAAGTTTCCCTAGGTGAACCTGAGGAGTGATCATTATCATGACCTAAAAATATGTAATGTAGCATGCACCTCGCTTCGTGCTGAATTGCATTTACCCTGGCTTAATGGTTTTTACCCAAGATTTCAGTGGTTATTCCTAATCGTTACCGATATCATTTCATCTTGTTTAAACCTTTCATTACCTTAAATTATTGTAACAAAACCATTTTAATTATCTTACTTTACTCATACTACAATTCATTATTAACTTTACAAGGCTTTTTATTTGCATACATGCAACTACTTATTATTATTATTATTCATATAATGTAATCTAGTATTGTAATCTTTCTATTACATCATCATGTTTATTCATTGTTCAAATGTCTTCATAAATACATATGATTGTATAATTTGATAATAGATTCGTTGAAAAGAGATCCCTTCATTGAACTTCGTGTTTGTTTGTTTGTTTGTTTATTTTTTAAGTCGAACATCTTTATTGTTCATGTATTTCGTAAGTCTTTATCGTAATCTACTTATTTCTAGGATGTTTTTATACTGAAGTACATGATCATCAACCATATATATCTGATAAATTGATTAACAAAATGAACTTCCAATGGTTAAGATCATGAGTCAGTTGAAGCTAGACCACCATGGAAAACCTGGAAGCACTGGACGGCCGTTTCATCCTATTGTGGGACTCCTCAGCAGTGCGCATCCAGGGGGGTGAGGTCGTGGATGCGCACTGCTGAGGAGTCCCACAATAGGATGAAACGGCCGTCCAGTGCTTCCAGGTTTTCCATGGTGGTCTAGCTTCAACTGACTCATGATCTTAACCATTGAAATTACTACAATCTCCACAAAAACCCATCTGATATTAATCAAAATGAACTTTATAAATAAACTAGATTTAAATTGTTAAGATGAAAAATTTGTTGATATTGTTAGAACCACTGATATATCTATCAATTCTTGGTTTTCAAGAGCACCTCAACTGGGATCAATCTTCAACTACTACAGTATACAAATTATTCTCCATTAAACACCATTTCAAATAATGAACTAAAATAACTTATGGCATGATTGAATAAAAATAAAGAGAACTGAGAAAGGAAGGATTTTTTTCGACGAAATCACTTACTTAAGTTGTTTATTCGTATTTATAGTTATATAGTTATTATTACATAACCTCTTAACTATTATTTATTTATTTACCTGAACACATAAATATGCGTACAAAGAGGCACCGAATACATATGCGCCATACAAGTCACTTGATTTGTGTGTGAGCTGTCATACTGCCCAGATGCCTAAATGAAAGAAGGTGGATTTCTTAGGGGATCACACCCGGAGCCTTTGACCTAAAGGTCTAATTCACAAGGCAGTAAAGCAACGTCAAGAGATGTAGTCCCATGGTAGCTGGTAACCAACGATAGGTTCATACGCCATTTGTTCCCTCAGGATATTGGAACTGATATTCACCATTGGTTTGGAATGAGGGTTTTCCAACTCCCCTAGGTGGACTCTCCATGTCCACCAACCTGGTTAAAGCGCCAGATATTCGCTTTTCATCCTCTCAATTTCATAAACAACACCCCCGTTGCGAGAAGGTGTACCAACCATCTACTATCTCAATATGATCAGTTCTCGTATTCAGTGTAGAAATTCTTAAATGATTAAATCTGATTAATGAATTATTTATTATTTGTAATACCTACAGAAAGATCTTAGTTTTAGAAGTTATACTATTTCTTGTGAGACTGTTTTTTTTGTATGTTATTAGCATTGTTTTAATGTGCATAGTTAGTTATTCGCATAGAAATTACAAATCGAGCTAATCACCTGCTACATTGTTTTTTCGTTAACACTACTAATCTAATTAACCTTGAATTTGTTTTAGTTTTATTATTAACATTATTACTTTGTCTCAATAATGAATATATAATTTGCAGTACGGGGTTATTGGGATTGTTGGATTTCATTGAAATCCTGAAATGATCTAAGTTAGATCTTGCGTAACGCATTGTTGGATGTCAACTTGGTAGTCTAGATACTAGAGTTTCGTGTACAAGACTAAAGGTCCTGAGATTGATTCTCGGATACACAGTCGTGGATTTGCAATGCCAAGAGCGCAGTACTT